AATTAGAAAACTGGGTCATACAATCACTCTTGAAAGTAAAGAAAAAAGAAATGAATAAATAAATCATAGTTGCAAAGAAAATCTTCCAAATCTACAAAGAAGTCCTGATATGGAACATTCAGCCATCGTAATTTGTTTTTATGGCATGACATTTCATAAATATATTCCTGGTCTAATTATAATTTTGAATAAAGAAAAGACAAAAAGAAAATGTTGAGTCTCATCTCTTCCAAGGAGGCTGTCAAAATATAAAATCTCTATGTATTTATAAAATATAGATTAATGTCACTCCAAATTCTATGCATGGTTAGATCTGTCTTCTCATCAGTCAGAATTTTAGACTAGTGATGAAACAACTGGGAAAATACATGGGAGGAAATCCTCTTCATAATGATGCCTATTTTTTTCCAGCCATGGAAGAAAAAATTAAGCCATTATGATAATAAGTACTTTCTAAATTAAAAAAATGATTTAATATTTTTATTTTTACCTTTTCAGAGTAAAGCAGATTTGATCTTTTCAACATACTGACAATACTAGTTTGCAATCATTATAAGGAGATATTATACATGGAATAAAATCTAACACTTCTAGGAACACATTTTTTTTCACATTGTTCCATTCATACTTTTCTGTTTTTAAAGAATGATCAGAGGGGGCTGGAGATGTGGCTCAGCGGTAGCGCGCTAGCCTGGCGTGCGTGCGGCCCGGGTTCGATCCTCAGCACCACATACCAACAAAGATGTTGTGTCCGCCGAGAACTAAAAAATAAATATTAAAAAAGATTCTCTCTCTCTCTCCTCTCTCACTCTCTCTTTAAAAAAAAAAAAAAAGAATGATCAGAAAAGTTAATTCAGAGGACAGAGTGTTGGTTAAATTAATTCAGTTTCAGAAAGAAAATTCTCTGTGCAACAAGGAAAAGATTACCAAATAAAATTGTTGCTCTGTATCAAAGCTACTAAAACTCCTCTGAAAACCAGCTTTGGGGAAATTAAATGGACATAAATATGCATAAATAATTCAATACCTTTTAAAGCCAGTCAGGCTACATTATCTACTTAAGAATGGGAGATAAGATCTGCTTATGTTCTAAATTAAGGTTTGCACACAATGTTTTCCAGGATTTCACAAGTTTATTTAAACAAATAGTAATGTTTGCCAAATGAATACTATGGGACAGATTTTAATACAATTCTATTACAATCGTTATTTGCACTGATATGGCTCATTTATATATGAGATGTATTTCTGAAAGTGTGCATGTGAATCATACTGCAAATATTTTGGCAGATCTTACTACTAAAAGGAATGAGATACTTTTATTGAGTAAACAACCACCACTACGTTATAGGTACAAAGTACAATTTTCAAATATCTGATGTGCTCTTCATTATTTCACTTAAAATAATGTAGTTAATTCCAAACTCACTTATTTCATCAATATTTAATGAAAGCAATTAGTACTAGTGCAATCCCATTTTCATGAACCTGGATGACTTTTGCAGCATTTGAACTACTGCTGTTTTATAGGAAAGGAGATATTAGCTGTAAGATATGTGGCTGAGTGCTCGGGCTCCCCACTTCCCCCCAGGCCTGCACTGACACTACTGTTCACTATTCAAATCTGCACCCGTCAGTTCTTATTGAAAGTACTTTTTACAAATATTCCTTTCCAGTTAAAAGTACAAAATATTTTATAAAATCTCTCAAAATATAAAAATAAATGCCATTACAATTAGAGGTACTAGAAACACAAACAATATTTCTTCTGTGTTTGTTTAGTGGATATGGTTGTAGATGGATTGAAACTAATGAAAGTAACTCATTTTTCTGGTTTTGCTATCTCCCACCTTCATTTTGTTTTTGTGTCTGTATGTGGCACTGGGGATTTAACTCAAGGGCACTTACCTCCTGAGCCACTCTCAGCCCCTTTTGATATTTTATTTAGAGACAGGGTCTCACTGAGTTGCTTAGCATCTTACTGTTGCTGAGGCTGGCTTTGATCTCGCAATCCTACTGCCTCAGCCTCCTGAGCTTCTCCCCCTTCATTTATTACAAAATTATTTTTTATTTTTTTAGTACCTTTCTTTATTTATGAGTGGTGCTGAGAATCGAACCCAGAGCCTCAAACATGCTAGGCAAGTGTTCTGCCACTGAGTTACAACCCTAGCCCCTCGCCCTTCACTTTAATTGTAACAAAATAAAAAAGCAAAATTATTGTTGATCCAGTGGGGCATAAACACAGGCTTATTTATCATATCCAGAAAAGAAGCATTAAATGAATTAGTTAATATTTTATCCATGCAACAAAATTATTTGTTAAGTTCTTTAGAAAGAGCTATAAGATAAAATTCAATTTTAATAAAAACATCTTTTAGCTGACCAATAATCTATATTATCATTTTCTGTTATTATTTCAATGAATATTCATAACAAAAAAATCATACAACAACTGTTTGGTAGACTTTCTTCTGGTTATATAAGATTTTTAGTGGCATAGAGAACATAAGACAAGGGAAAGAGAATGGAGGTAAATAGCAAGAAATAGGGGTGGGAGGAGGAGGTAAGTTTGGGGAGCTTTGTTCAGGTGCAATGACAGTAGCTGAGTGAAATACGGCCTCAGAAGAAATATCACGAGTCTTCCAGCTGTCATCATTGCTGCTCTTCATCAAATGGAAACATGAATGCAGCCCACAAGCCACCATACTATCCACTGCATCTTAGAGACTTTCAGAAAAATCAGATGAAGCACAATAAAATAAAATAATTCTAAACCCTGTGCTTAAATAGAAGTCCAAAATGAAGGATTCAGTCATAAAATGGGTGGCAATTTTTCTGGAACTCTAGAAAGGGTATTTATTTAAATATAATTCATTTTGTGAAGTAAATTTTACATTCTAAAAAAATATCATGAAAAGGATATTTGTACTTTTATGTGCATAAAATTCAAACAATGGAAGGAGAGTAGGTTATAACTGCCCAAGGATTAAGGAGTTATCCAATTTTTACTATTGACCTACTGCATGGCTCATTACACAAGTCAAACTAATACAGTCCTCATTTATTAGCCTAGAGAGTTCTACAGGTTATAGTAAGAAACTACAGGATCTGAGAACAAATAAAATACTTATATGTTATCAAGGTTTTGCATTTGTTTATTCATTCATTTTTTTAAAAGCAATAATTTCGCTTAACAGAGAAACAGAAGACTACATGTTTTTGTTGTTGCTTTTGTGATGCTGGGGATTAAATCCAGGGCAGTGTGCAGTACAAGGCAAGTGCTCTATCATTAAGCTGGCATCTGCAGCCCAAGAAAATGTTTACATTATAACAAATTATGAAATGTATTACAACAGAAAAATTCTGAGAGCACTATGGGAGTCCACATTTTTAGATAAAAGGAAGAGTAATAGCAAAAGTACAAGAGGTGAACATGAGGTATTATAGGAACAGGAGATGAGCAAAGACAGGGATAGACACAGAGATGTGGTTGTAAAATGGCAATAGCCAGATCCTAAATTCTACATTTGTTGTGAGGAAAAAAAAATGTTTTAAAAATATTTTTAGTTGTAGATGGATACTATACCTTTGTTTATTTAGTTGTTTTATGTAGTGCTGGGGATCGAACCCAGTGCTTCATGCATGCTGGACAAGTGCTCTATCACTGAGCCACAACCCAGGCCTTATGAGAAAAATTTTAATCTTTGTGTTGACATCGTGTGTACTATTGTGTTTGGACTGTGCCGAAGATCATATTCTCTGGATACATAGAAGTTACTCCAAACACTTCCAAAGTTAATCATGGCAAGGAAACAAAGGGTATACCCCAGAAATGGGAAAATAAGGAGCATTCTTCCTCTCATGTCAGAAAAATGCAAGTCCTAGGATTCTATGTAAAGGAAACTGGATAGGTGAGTGAGCTGGTACCAGTGATATTGGGACCTGCAGAAACTAAGCAACAATCTTCTGAGTGAATATCACTGAGAATCTTGCACTTCTGCTATGATTGGTACCAGTAGAACTTTATTTAAATACTGTACTGTGGCCTAAGATGGATCTAAAAAAGTTTTAAAAAAGGAAGATATATATATGTTCTTGAAGGAAGCCAGTACTAAGAGCAATAAATCTGGCATTCTGAGAACTTTTAACACATCTATTGAGTAGCATGTTAGTCAGAGGGAGAAAGAGAATGATGAACAAGAATTCTGTCTTGGGCTGGGGTTGTGGCTCAGCAGTAGAGCGCTCGCCTAGCACACGTGAGGCACTGGGTTCAATTTTCAGCACCACATATAAATAAATGAATAAATAAAATAAAGGCATAAAAAAAGAATTGTCTTAAAGGAGCTTAGTGAGGGAGATATGAAGAACCAAAACATGTGGTAGAAGAATATGTAAAACCCAAGATATGGTAGGTGATATGAAAGAAACAGAGTCAAACCTGGGGAAAAAAAAGGAGTCAGTAATGCTCTCCCTAAGGAGGTGACCTAGAGGATGAAGGTATGTTACTTGCAAAGTCGAGATGAAGCATTAAGGCAGAGAAGAAAAGGTCTGAACTGGGAAAGATTTATTCTGCATTCAATATTAAGTCAAAGAAGTTAAGTTCAGGCATGGGAATTACAGGATTCAAAATTAGACTTAAAGAAGATCCATATTGTTGCAGTGAGGAATGTATCACCGAAGGCCAAGTGGTAATAGAGAAAAGTTAGTGACTTGGAGTAGCACAGAGTCACTTACAGTAGTACCGCCCATGATTTATTCCTCTGCTTTACCAAATGCTAATACTCTTGAATATACATGGGAAAATAAATATTTTAATTATCAATTTTATTATATATATTCAATATTCTACTTTTAAGCTTGAAAATTCATTTAAGACAAATGTATCAAACGCATAAATATATTTAAAAGATTTTTAAAAGTCATGTGAAAATAATTAAAGAAAATCAAATTTATTGTTATATGGAAGACAATTATATTCCAGATGATTACTGAGAAATTACCTTGGACAAATCTCTGAAGTTGCTTGGCAAGGTAAGATCTAGTTCTTCTGATTCATAATTAGTGATGACCCAGGGAAATACAGGATACTGATTTAAGTCATTATAACCTCGTCCTAGTAGGGGAAAAGAAAGCCAATTTTAGTTGAAAATAAAAAGAAATGATAAATATATATATGATAAACAAACTATATATATATATATGTATATATATATATGATAAAAAATATTGATTGACTGTATGGTGGAGCTGGGGATAAAATCCAGTATCTTGTGCCTACATGGCAAAGATTACCACTGAACTACAATCTCAAATCTTAACTAACAATTTTTGAGAGGCAGCCACTATTTAAGTACTAGTTATACATTATCTCATTTAAACTTCATATTTACCCTATGAAATGAGCATCATCTCCATTTTATTGATGAAAAATTTGAGGCACAATAGGTTAGGTAACTTGATCTTAGTCACATGACTAGTAATGAGTAAATCATATCCAAATCCAGTTATTCTGGTCTTAAAGTTTATGTTCTTTTAAATTACATTTGACTGATTTTTATTACTTGAAATAAAGTAATACCACAAATAAAATTCCCTTCTTGGGGGACCAGGGAGGTGCTAGGGATTGAAGCCAGGGCCTTATGCATGCCAAGTATGTACTCTACCACTTAGCTGCAAGTCCCAACCCCAACACCTTCTTTATTGACATTTTTTTAAAAAGAAATTACAGTTTTTATAGAGGTTTTTAAAAACCAGAATTCTTGATCTCACACTAATTAACCAACTAACCAACTGAGTTTAACTGATTTTACCCCTGTAGATAATTTGCCAGTCATATGTGGAATAAGATAGTTGTACTAAATAACTGAAACTTACCTGGCAGTTTTGAATTGTATGGTTCTTTAAAAACAATGCACAGCATTATTAATGTTGCTCCTACTTAACCTGCCACATGTTCCCCTATATTTTCTTGTAACACCAATGACATGAAATGACACACTGAGTTACTAAAAGTGCAAAGTCAAAGGATAAGGCAGCCCATCTACGCATGCACAGTCATTCCCTGGGTACCACCACTCCAGGGAGACTGCACAGTGAATAAGCTCATTCCTTCTGCATCCAGTATGCACACACCTGAATCCTAACTCAACTGTTTACCAACCTATAACCCCAGTTACATAAAAGTCAGTGTGAAAGAAGTTTAATGGCTAAAGTAGAAGGGAGAAAAAAATATTAATATTGTTTGAATTCCATTTTCACTATACATTCTATAATAGTCATTCCTTTTTCTTTCTCAAACACAAATGACATATCAATACACAGATGACTATTAAAGTAGTTCTTGACATAGACTCTTGGTATTTAAAGCCTTTTTATGATCTGATAACTTCATTTTACTCTATTCATCTTGGGCTTGAGGATAATTAGAGTGATAGAGGTCTTCTTTGACCTGGAAACAGTTTTTAAAAACATGAAAACAAGGGCAATTTGTCACTGCAAGTTAATCATATCACCACATGTTTCTGTCAATATGTTTAATTTATCCCAGAAAAAAAATCATTAAGCTTAGTAGCAAAAAGAAGTCTTTGTGATCCCTCTTTTTTCCCCTTTCTTCTCCATCTGATTTAGAGATTATTAAACACCAAAATCCTCATCTTGTCCATGCTGCTTAAATAATTTAAAATAATCCAAACCTTACTGTATCCTCAAAAAAGCATGCACCAGCTTAGTGTTCAGACTTTTAATTAAGTTAAATTTAGTGTATAGCTACAGAATGATTACTGTATCATAATATAAAAACTTGAATGCCATATAGATTAATACTGTAAAAGAAGTAAAAAAACACAAGTCACTTAACTCTATACTTTAGTGTATATAAAAACATTCAAACAATTTATTGATTCTACTTTTTAAAAAGAATATACAGAGAATATATTTTAAAGACACAGTAAATGAAAGTTATTTGAGAAAAGGGACTATTTCATGAAATAAATGCTTTACAATCATTACAATGCATTCAATTAAGTTGGGTTAAGTGATTTACTTCATGCAAATATGCACATTAAACTTGTTATGTTTCTAGTCTCATTTTACTACTTAAAATCCCTTTAGGGCTAAATGTGAAAAACCCAAAGCCAAGCTCATAGTCAATGGGGAAAAACTGAAAGATTTTCTTTAAAATCCGGAACAAAGTAAGGATATCCACTTTCACTATTCCTATTTAATATAGTGCTAGAAATTCTAGCCAGAGCAATTAAGCAAGAGAAGGAAATAAAAGGGGGAAAACAAGAGTGGAAGAAGTCAAATTGTGATTGTATGCAGATGACATGATCGTATAGTTAGAAGATCCAAAAAACGCCACCAAAAGACTGCTAGAGCTAATAAACAAATTTAGTAAAGTTACAGGTTATGAAACAGATATAAAAATATATAGTTTTAATATACATTAATAATGTATCTGCAAGAAAGAAATCAGAAAAACAATTCCATTCACAATATCCTCAAAATATAAAATAAAATGCCTAGGAATAAATCTTACCAAGCAGTGAAAGACCTCTACAATGAAAACTACAGAACATGGAAGAAAGAAACTGAAGCAGACCTCAGAAGATGGAAAGGCATTCCATGTTCATGGAGAGGCAGAACTGATGTTTTGACCATACTATCAAAAGCAATATAAAGATTCAATGCAATCCCCATCAAAATACAATGACAATCTTCACAAAACTAGAAAAACAGTCCTAAAATTCATTCAGAAGAATAAGAGACCCAGAATAACCAAAGCAATTCTAGGCCAAAAAAGCAATGCTGGAGGCATCACAATGCCTGACTTCAAATGTTACTACAGAGCTATAGTAACAAAAAGGACACAGTATTGGCATAAAAACAGACACATAGACCAATGGTACAGAATAGAAGACACAGAGACAAACTCACAAAGATACAGTCATCTGACCCTTGACAAAGGTGCCCAAAATATATAGTGAAGAAAAGGGAGTCTTTTAAACAAGTACTAGGAAAACCGGTGAAGGGAAAACTGGTTATCAATATACAGAAGAATGAAACTACACCCTTATCTCTTACCCTGCACAAAAACCAATTCAAAATGGATCAAAGATGTAGAAATTAGACTAGAAACTATGCAACTCCTAGAAGAAAATGTAGGGTGAAAACTCCTACAAACAGGCAAGGCAACAACTTTCTCAATAAAACCCCTAAAGTTCAGGAAATAATGCCAAGAATTAATAAATGGGATAGCATCAAATCAAAAAAGCTTCTGTGCAGCACAGAAACAACCTGGAATGTGAAGAGAGAACCTAAATAATGAGAAAAAAATGTTTCCTAGCTACTCTTCTGATAGAGCATTAATATATAGAATATATAAAGAACTAAAAAATCTTAACACCAAGAAACAAATAACTCAGCTAATAAAAGGGCAAATGAATTAAACAGATAATTCTCAAAAAAAAAAAAAACACAGATGGTCAACAAACAAATGAAAAAATGTTCAACATCCCTAGCAATTAGGGAAATACAATTCAAAACTACACTGAGATTTCATGTCACACCAATCAGAACAGTAGTCATTAAGAATACAAATAACCAGACACCCTGCCTCTAATAGAAGAAAAAGTAGGCCGTAATATCTAGCATGCGGGATTAGGCCCCAACTTCCTTAATAAGACTCCTTTGGCACAAGAATTAAAATCAAGAATCAATAAATGGGATGAATTCAACCTAAAAAGTTTCTTCTCAGCAAAAGAAACCATCTGTGATGTGAATAAAGACCCTACATCTTGGGAGCAAATCTTTACCCCTCATACCAAAGCAATTCAGATAGAGCAATAATCTCTAGGGTAAAGAACTCAAAAAGCTAAGCACCGAAAAATAAATAAATAAATAACTCAATCAATAAATGGGCCAAGGAACTTCTCAGAAGAGGATATACAATCAATCAGCAAATATACAAAAAAATGTTCAATATTGCTAGCAATTAGGGAAATGCAAATCAAAAGTACTCTAAGATTTCATCTCACTCTAGTCTATTCATATCTATTATGAAGACAAACAACAATAAGTATTGGTGTGGATTTGGGGAAAAAGGTACACCCATACTGTGCTGGTGGGACTGCAAATTGGTGCAGCCAACAAAAGTAGTATGGAGATTTCTTGGAAAATTTGGAATGGAACCACCATTTGACCCAACTATCCGTCTCCTAGGACTATACCCAAAGGACTTAAAAACAGCATACTAAAGGGACACAGCCACATCAATGTTTATAGAAGCACAGTTCACAATAGCTAAACTGTGCAACCAACCTAGATGCCCTTCAATAGATGAAAGGATAAAATAAATGTGGCATATATACACAATGGAATATTACTCAGCAATAAAAGAGAATAAAATCATAGCATTTGCAGGTAAATGGATGGAGTTAGAGTAGATAATGCTAAGTGAAGTTAGCCAATCCCAAAAAACCAAATGCCAAATGTTTTTTCTGATATAAGGAGACTGATTCATAGATTCATAGTGGGGTAGGGAGGGGGAACGTGGGAGAAATAGACAAACTCTAGATAGGGCAGAGGGGTGAGGGGGAAGGGAGGAGGCATGGGGTTAGAAATGATGATGGAATGTGATGGACATTATTATCCAAAGTACATGTATGAAGACACAAATTGGTGTGAATATACTATGCATACAACCAGAGATATGAAAAATTGTGCTCTACATGTGTAATAAGAATTGTAATGCATTCTGCTATCATATATAAATAAAAAAAACTAATTAAAAAAAGAATACAAATAATAGGTCTGGGCATGTAGCTCAGTGATAGAGTATTTGCCTAGCATGCACATGGCCCTGGGTTCCATTACCAGTACCACCAAAAAAAAAAAAAAAAAAAAAAAAAACTCCGAAAAATAATAATACAAATAATTAAAAATTCTGGAGAGAATGAGGAGAAAAAGAAACACTTTTACATTGTTGATGGGATTGTAAAATAGTACAACCACTATGGAAATCAGTGTGGAGATTCATCAAAAAACTAGGCTAGGAGCCACCATGTAATACCACTCCTTGGTATTCACCCTAAAGAATTAAAGTCATCATACTATAGCAATACATGCATACACATGTTTATTGTAGCATAATTCACAAGAGTCAAACTATGGAACTAGCCCAGGTGTCGATCAATGGATGACAATGGATGGTTCAAGAAAATGTGATATATATATACACAATTAAATTTTATTCAGTCATAAAGAAAAATGAAAGTATATAATTTGCAGGTAGATAGATGGAAATCGAGGCCATGGTGTTAAGCTAAATAAGCCAAACTCAGAAGATCAAGGGTCATATGTTTTCTCATATGTAGAAGCTAGAGAGAAAAAAGGATAAGAAAGGTAGGGGACAGGGATCTCATGAAAATCATAGGGATATCAGTAGAGAAAAGGGTCCAAAGAGTAGGAGGTTCGGGGTGGGGGGAGTGATATTGGCCAAATTATATTGTTATTTGTGTGCATGTACAAATATGTAACAACAAATTCCATCATTATGTTCAACTGTAATGTACCAAAAAAAATGGGGAAAAATCCGTTTAATAACTAGTTATATAATCCCAACCAACATCAACATAACTGTTCAGACTTTGTTCACTGCTTAACCCCAATAAGATGAGTCTTTTTTGAAAAATTAAGACTTGTCAATGTGAACCCCTCAACTTCTGATTCTTCACAATACTCCCTTTTCTTGTCCCCACTTCTCTAGCAGGATCTTTCTTCTTTGCTAAGAGTTTCCTTTACCTGAGCTCTTGAACCTGTGTCCCTCAGAACCTGAACTATTATCCTTTCTCCTTCTCCATCTTTGTGGGTTTCTCTTCTCTGCCTTAACCTATCTTTTCTGTCCTATCACATTTAAGAATACTCTAATCTACACCCAAGTTCCCATTTAATCCCCAACCATATAGTTCCACACCAACAATTTGCTTTGCTTGCTTTAATAATGAATCCCCATGAGTAATCAGTAATTCCCCAAATGCCAAACACAAAAGTCTATTCTATATTCATTCTTAATTTTCCCCTACCTTCCCATAACACCTGACATAGGTGACAAATGCCTTCTTCACTCTTGCTTGCCTCTCAAAACATTTGATTTACCTCAGTTCTCTTCCTACTATATACAGTTTTCAGGACCGCTCATTATTTTCTCTTCTTACTAACTTCCCTTATTTTTTTCCCTCAGACACAGTATTTCCCTGAACTTACCTGAATATCTTCTGTATTATCTACCTAGATGATCTTATCTATGCAGATGAAATCCAGTGTCCTATCTCTTCTTGGGCCTACATGATCCCAAACTCTCTTTCTGATACTTAACTTGGCTGTCTTGCCAGAGCAGCACAACCATTGTCCTTCTATGAATTTCTGCTAATGGCACTACCATTTTCCCAACAGTTGAGACCCAGAGCCAGGAAGTCGTTCCTGACACTTTCTTCCCATTTACCCCTACATTCAGTCAGCTGCATATTGAATGCTTGGTGCCTTGCAAACTCTTATGATATTGATCTTTCCTTTCAATGTCCACTGATACCTCTCTAACACCAGCTCTTATACCTTTATATGTAATTGCTCTCCAACTTGAATGTCTGCCTAGTCCCTTTTAACTCCAATTTATCTTACATACACCTTCCAAGTAATTTTTTTGTACAGTTATAATATTGTTTATGTACTTTAAAACTTTCAAAAATTTCCCAATGAACTGACTACTATTTCCTCAAGCTGCTAACATTCTTTCTTCTCGACGTTATAGGAATATACAGATTGCACACACATCAGCAGATAAACAAACTATGCTATTGTTCTCCAGATATACTTGATATTTTCCCATCATCCTATTCTATTTTATGCTTTCAGACTTCCAAGAAATGACTTATAACTTGCAATTCCCTCCTCTGCTAACAAAAATAATATCCATTCTTGCACAACCACTGAAAGTTTTCCTTATTTCTTCCTTATTCCCCAAACTGAGTGAATATAATTTCCGTCTCTCTGCGATATTTTAAGCCCTATAGCCTTTTTGTTTATTTTATTAAATCTATACCCCCTTTATCTAGATTCAAGTAATAAAGGTTGAGCATTCCTAATCTGAAAATCCAAATTCTGAAACTTTTTGAGGACACAGTTTCAGATTACAGAACATTTTGGATTTTGCATTTTTGGAATTAGGGATACTTAACTAGTAAAGTCTATGCAAACATTCCCAAATTCAAACCAACATCCAAATCTGAAATACTTCTGGTCCTAAGCATTCTGGATAAGGGAAACTCACTCTATACTCACATTTGTGCTTCAAATCATTTCTCTGAGACTAAATGACATGTCATGTTCTCCCTGTATGTCCTTTGGGCCTCAAATACAAACCAAGTCAGTCTGCTGAAATGAATCTTGAATGTCTCACAAATACATTCCATTTTCTTTATTCTAGTTGTCACAAATGAAAATTAATGACACATTTCTATGCCTTATTCAATTTCAAGGAAATAGTGTTGGTGGGTAATTTTCTATGGTATTTTATGATTAGATAGGGTCATTTGGTCTTCAGATTTTCATATGTGGGTCACAATATGAATATTCCTTTGGTTAATATTTTACTCAGTTTTATTTTTTCTATATTGCAATTCATTGTTTCATCATATAACACATTTCTACCTAAGTTATTAACCAATTTTATCCCATTGTTTCAGATATAGGATACCTACAAATACTTAAATAGAGAACCTAATATAAAATATAATTATATAGCAGATGATTGTAGAATAACATTTTAATATAATTATATTAGTTAATATTAATTAATAAAATAAAAAATATAATGCAAACTCTGTATTAGAATTTCTAATCTATTTTAATATGTCTATGTCAATTTTGTTGAAATATTTTCAGAACTGACAACTTGGAACTTAATGGGTTAACAGGTTCTTAAAATTTTTATATTGTTCTTCAATTCTACCATGCACAATGAGCCCATTCTTTCTATATTAAAGAGTCATAAATTCTTCTTTTCTCCTTTTTGGCAAAAACCTTTTATATTCACTTTTAATTTCTCCCAAGTAGCCAACTGTTCATATACAAAACTGGAAACTGTTAGCAACATATTTACGAGGTTTTCTAACAGTAATAATAGTAGCAAAAATAAACTACCCAAAATAATCTAACCATTTCATAATAAATAACTCATTATTTGAAGTCACTCAGTGTGTGGACTTAGATTACCTGCTATTGTGTTGAGAAACATCAAGTACTCAAAATTTGAAATCTCTCGGTGTTGCCATCGCTGGGTCATATTAGAAGCTTTAAAAAGCTGACGTGGACTTGCTAATGAAATACGCCTGCAAAAAAAAGAATTCAGTGTAAGAAACTAAACTTAAGATTAATTATATTACAATACTAAATCATGAATTATCTGTGCTTATTCATACCCAATGAAATATATAATACTAAAAAGTTCCAATGATGTTAAACTAATAAATAGTAGAGATATTTCTATCTACTATTAATGGTTAATAGTGATATGGAGTAGGCACAGGTCTATTATACACATTACCATTCAGGTAAGCTGTCACTGCAATGCCATTATAATATCCAGGTTCCATGAAGGTTGAATTATTTAATAAGAGAACGGCTAATAATTAACTAGTTAACTCATATAAAGAGAAGGAATCATAGTAACTACAAAATGCATACAAAATTATATTAATAAGTCCATCAATTTTAATAGTCACTTCTTAAAGATAACACATTTGTATATTACAAATTTCAATATTATACTTGCATAACATTTGTAACAAGAAGAAATAGAGTATTCTAACTATTCATTCTTCTATTTATACAAAGGAACAGAGGCAGGAGAAACTACTGAGATTTTCTTATATAGCTTATTAGAAAGCCAAGTTAATAAAAAGTAAATCCTATTGGATATAACTGATCAATACTGAGAATAATGGAAAACAGGTGGCAGGATTTTTATAACATCCAGAGTTTCAGACCTATGTATATTGTCATTAGTCTTCCTTCACAAAGGACAAATAACTATTTCCTTAAAAGATTTATTGAGATTAATTTACATACCTTACCAGTCAATATTTAAAAAGAAAATTTCTGGAGTTGTACAGTTATTACAACAATATACTTTATTTTTATGTGGTGCTGAGGATCAAAATCAGTGCCTCACGCATGCTAGGCAAGTGCTCTACCACTGAACCACAACCCTGGCCCTGTAAATGATGTTACTATGAAGATATGAATATATGTTTTCATTTCTTTGGGGTAGAGTCTTAGGAGTGGAACTTTTTATATGCCAAGTTTATCTTCAACTTCCTTTTTGTAACTGCCAAATTGTTTTCCAAAGTGGTTGGACATTCCAGTGTATGAACCAATTTCCACATCCTTGGAATGCTTGTTTTGTATTGTGTTTTTATTATTGCACTGAAGTGAGTATGAAATGGCATCTTGTTGTAGTTTATTTTTATTATTATTTAAAATTTTTGCAGAATGTAAAAGTTATACATAATAGGGTTCATTATCTTATGGTAGTTTAAATGTCCATCATTGTGCATCTTCTCATGTGGTTTCAGTAAGTTCTACAATCTTCAATGAAACGACTTTTCAAATATTTTCCTCCATTAATTGGGTTGCCTGTGTTTTATTATTAAGATGTAAGAGTTCTTTATACATTCTGGATGTAAAACGGTGATGGTTAATTTTATGCGTCAACCTGACCAGGTTAAGGTATATCAAAGAGAGCTGGGGAAAAATAATTTCTAAATATGTCTATGAGAACACTGCCAGAGAGATTAGCATTTGAATTGACAGGCAGAGTAAAGCAGATAGTCCCCAAAGTAAGTAGACATCAGATAATCTAGGACTGAACAACAAAAAAAGGAGGAAGGGTAAATTCTCTTCTGTTCTTGACCTGGAACACAGGTTCTTTTTCTCCAGCCTTTGGACAGAGGAGCTCCTGGTTCTCTGTCCTCAATCCTGCACCAGCCCAATTCCTGGGCTTTCTGGCCTGTGAATTGACCATCAGCTGCCCTGATTTTCCAAGTACCTGAATTATACCAGGGGCTTTCCTGAGTCTCCAGCTTGAAGATGGCGTATCACAGGACTCGTTGATCTCCATAATAACATAAGCTAATTCCCATAAGTCTACTTTTACATATCTATCTATATACACCATATTGGCAATATATGTACATACATAAGACAAAGTGGTTTGTCAGATATATGACATAAAAATATTTTCATTTACTTTGTGATATATTTTGGATTTTGATTAAGTTCATCTCTTCATCTATTTTTTTTTTATGGATCATGCTATTGGTGTGGCATCCAAGGATGGTTTGCCTGTTTCAACATCAAAAATTTTGCTCCCATGTTTTCTTGCACACATTTTACAGTTTCAGCTCTTACATATATAGCCTATAACATAGTTTGAGTTAACATTTATGAGTAGTATGTGGTAAGCATCCAAGTTATTTTTTGTTTTGTTTTGCAATACTAGAAATTAAACCCAGGGCCACACACATGCGAGGCAAGAATTCCACCACTGAGCTAAACCCCCAGTCTACTGCATTTTTTATTCTGAGACAGGATCTTATTAAGGTACGCAGGCTGGCCAGGTCCCTGCACTTCTCCTGCTTCAGCCTCCCGTATAGTTGGAATTAAAGGCATGCACCATTTGCCCAGCAACACCTAAGTTGTTTGTGTGTTGAACGTCTTGTTGCCTCAGCATTACTTTTTGAAAGACTATCTGTTCTTCACTGTATTGACACATTTGCTGAAAAACAACTGACCATATATGTAAAGTTTGATTTCTTCATTTTCAACTCATTCTATTGATTTATATATCTATCCTTGTAAAAACACCATGTCCTAACTTCTGTGGTTTTAACTACATTTATCAAAATGTATGTATCAAAATACTGTCATGCATATCTAAAAGAATTAAACAATAAGTCTTGAAATTAGGTAGTGTCCTCTAAACTTTCTTCTTCTTTATAAAAATTATTTTTGGCTATTCAGGACACATTGAATTTCAGCTTCTCAATTTCAATAAAATAGGGAGAATATGAGTATGTATGCTATGAAGCTTTTTGGTAGATGATTTTTATCAATTTTGGGGAATTTCCTTCTATTTTCTATTGAGTTAAAAGTTTTAATCATGGATGTTTGTTAGATTTTGTCAAGTACTGTTTCTTTTGTCTGTTGAGATGACCATGTGATTTCTGTCCTTTATTCTATTAAGTTGGTGCACAACATATATTGATTCTCAAATTTAAATCAATGTGTCTTCCAGTGATAAAATCCAAATGGTCTTTTTATACTCCTCTTTATATGTTGCTGAATTTGGTTGGTTAAATTTTGTAAAGGATGTTTGTATCTATATTAGTGAGCAATATTGTGTTATAGTTTTTTCCTGTTTTCTTGCTCTGCCTTTCGTATTGTTATTAGAGTGACACTGGCCTTACAGAATGAGTTAGGAGGCATGTTCTCCTGTAGCTTACTGAGTATATGAAGGATTATGAAGGTTTGTAAAGGATCTACTTTAAAAATATGATAGTAAAGTTATTTGGGMTTAGGCTTTTCTTTATCAAAAATTTTTTAGTTGTAGATGGATACAATATCTTTGTTTTATTTATTTATTTTTTTATGTGGTGCCGAGGACCAAACCTAGTGCCTCACGCAAGTGCTCAACCACTGAGCTAAAACCCCAGCCCCTTTATGGGAAGATTTTTAAAGGCTTACCTATTCAGATTTCAATTTCTTCCTGAGTCAGTTTGGTCATTCTATTTTCTAGGTATATGCCCATATATTCCAGGTTGTCTAATTTAATGGCATGAAGTTATTCAGGGTGTTCCTTCCTAACCCTTCTAAATCCTATATCATCAGTAGTAATGTGTAAATTAACCTTTACATTTATGATCAGTTGTTTTTTATTTCTGGTTTTGGTAATTTATGTCCCTTCTCTTTATGTTTCCATGGTTGCCTAAAGTCTGTCAATTTACCAATGTTTTTCAAGAATCTACTTTAGTGTCATCAGCCTTCTTTACTGTTTTTACTTGTTTCACTGATTTCTGCTATGATCTTTTCTTTCTTGCTGTGTATTGAGCTTGCTTCTATTTTCTAAAGATCAAAGCTTAGGAGGCTACTGATGTGAGGCATTTCTGTTCCTCAGGTGGAGGTATTTAAAGCTACAATTGTCCAAAATACTACTTCAAGGGGTAGCTAGGCACAGGACTGGCCAAAGCATGCAGTACTGCATGGCAGAGTCGTGGCTGCAGTTGTGGGGCAAAAGAATAAGCCTCAGATCTAGGTGCTCTCTTGATTCTGGGATGTACGGAGGGAGAAAGTGGCTCAGACCCTGGAAAGAAAAATCAAAGAAGATAAAAGCCTTCCCACCACTCTGGCCGTGCAGCCTCATATGCCTTCCTCTCCTGCACTTCTCTAAGCTTCTGGCTGTAAGAGAATATGATCTCCTGGTAGCTGGTACAACCCCTTACAAACATGTATTAAACTTCTTGGTTATTGCTCCTACATGGAAAGGGGAGGTGGAGCCTGAATTCAAATGATAGAATTGAGCAAAAAAAGATGACCACGAAGTAGGGAAACTAAAATGATGCTGTGAGTGGAGACAGAGCTGACTCAACGCATTTGTTGTTATGGCTTAAAACTAGTATTGACATGCACATGCACATACTGCAAGTGGTCGTGAAGTGTCAGAATCCTCCAGAAGAGCCAAAGGTAGGTAGAAAAGTCACAGTAGGACTAATTCTTTGCCATTAGTGTCAGAGGTGGGTAAGGATTTAGCACATTGTCTCTACTGTCACATGTCCTATTGGTCCACAAGTCAGAAGCTTTGTCTTCATGGCCCTGACTGCAGGGGTTATCACACCTAAACAAGAGCGGGCAGTTCATAAATTCCAACAAAATACAGGGACCTGCTTGCCAAGGACACCTTGTTGATACTGTGGGCCAAATTCACAACATACAACCATCTGGCAGTCAAAACCTGCTGCTGCTAAATGCAAGGAACAGTTTTCCATCTGTGTCTTTTCTCATCAGACCTTTTCATTTTTAAATACTATCTATCATCCTTAGCATCACATTGTCCAGATCTCCTATGTGTTGAGCCATCTTATTCTTATTTGTTTGTTTTGAAGACGGAGGAAGGGAGATGTTCTATTTCCTTTATTTGATCTTTGCAAAAGACCATCTTCTCTCAATGGCTTTATGTCAAGTTTTGAAACCAATGCAGAATTTCCTTAAGCTGCACCTCTAGTTACTCTTGCCATCCTACAATCTCTCCCCAGATGAACTCATTCCCTCTTAT